CCGTGCCGCCGCTCCCGTGCCTTGCCCCCCGCCTCCCCGCCTCATCCCCTGCCTGCCTGCCTGCCCGCCCGCCTGTCCAGGGCGCCACGCACCGACCTGTCTCCCGAGGAGCGTGAGAGCCTGGGCAAGAGCCTGTTCAGCGACTACCTGTGCAGCCCAGACCTGGAGGAGGCGGTGGGCACCGCGCAAGAGCTGGAGGCCCCCGGCTTCATGCCCAAGCTGGTGCAGGTGGGTGTGGTGCGGGGCTGTGGGGCCGGGTGTTGGCCTGGTGGGGGTGGCACGGTCGTGCGATTGGGCGTGGGGGCTTGGCATGGTGGGTGATGGCGCCTGCCTCTGGGCCTGGCTGCGCGGGTGGCGGTGTCGCGGTGTCGCTCAGCTCGTCTTGCCGCGGCCCCCTCCTCCCCGCGCAGATTGGGCTGGAGAAGGCATTCGATGCGATGACGGAGCGGGAGCAGACCAGCCTGGTGGATCTGCTGGCGACGCTGGCGGCGCGGGGCGTGCTTGGAGCGGACGACCTCAAGGAGGGCACCGCGGGGCTGATGGAGGGGCTGGAGGACTTTGCGCTGGACATCCCCGCCGCGCCGCGCCTGCTGGGCCGCCTGCTGGGCGCCGCCGCCGCGGGCGGCTTGCTAGGCCTGGACTGGGTGGCGGGCGCGGTGGCGCCGTGTGAGAGCGCAGAGCCGCGCCGCGCCTTCCTGGCGGCGGCGCTCAAGGCGGCGCAGGAGGCGGGCGGCGACGAGCGGGTGGCGGCGCTGTGCCAAGAGGGCAAGCTCGACCTGCAGCAGCTGCTGGCCTTTGACCCGGAGTTTGATGGCGACATGCCGCCCGCCGCCGACTTCCTGCAGCAGCAAGGCCTGGGCGCGCTGGCATAGACCGGCTCCAGCACGGCGGCAGCGCCGCGCCCCGCTGTGCTGTTAGGCCTGCAGCAAGCAGCTGCCTGCCCCGCTGGGGCCCGCGCCGCCTTTGCCTTCCTGCTGCCCTGCTTGCTCTCTTGTCGCTCTCTCCACAGTTGTTTTACATGGTTCCGCTCCAGATTCACCCGTTTGTTTGTTGCTCTCAATCACAGTAATCTCTCACAGTAGCCCTGGGCTGCTCAACCTGGCAAATGGCAGTGCCGCCACCGGCTTTTAGTGCGGCGGCAGAGGCGGGGTTGCTCAGCACAGCGCAGCATGAGTAGGCTCGCTCCGGCCATTTCGTGCTGGATCGAACATCGAGCCTCATTTGCGTGTGATTGCCCTCACCAGGGCAGCAGAGACAGCAGGGGCGCAGCCTGCCCATGGCGCGGCTGGCTTTGGGCGTGCCTGCGGCACTCCTGTGCACCGCCTCTAACAGCATCAGTAGGACCAGCAGCCAATGTGCCACCCCACGAGCTCAGCTGGGGCCGGTGCCCAGCCGGCGCTGCATTCTTGGGGCTTCGATAGCTATCGGTGAGCGTCTCCTCGCTTCTGAATACGTGCGTAACATCCAGGATGCGGAATTGGATGGCACTGAGCCCGCTTCTGCTGCGCGGTGGCTCGTGGTGCAGGGCTGGTGGCGGCGGCGCCTGTTCGATGGGCGGTCGCTGAAGACAGCTCGCCTCTGGCACAAGAGCTTGGCAGCGTGCCCGCTGCACCAGAGGCAGCACCCAGTCAGGTACCAGAGAAGAGCATGGTGCCGCTGACGCCGGAGCAGCTGGAGCAGCAGGCGGCAGCCAAGCTCTTAGAGGTGCGCTGGCGAGAGGGCTGCGGGATTGCATCTCTTCTGCGTCCCATCTGCTGCCCTGGAGTGCTGGCACCGTGCCGCTGGCATCACTGCAAGATCTGGAATCATCAGAGCTCGCGTGCAGCCCCTGCTGCGCATCAGCCAATCCTGCCTGGGCTCACTGCCGCAGGAGGAGGAGGAGCGGCGGAAGGCGCGCAAGCGGAAGAAGGGGCGGATCAGGGAGCTGGAGGAGATCCGCGCAGAGCTGGCAGAGAAGGTGGGGCGTGCCCTACATTGCTTTTTCTCACTTCTCGGCGCCGCCTTTTGTTCTGTACAGTGTTGCCATGCCGTGCCTCACCTCCATAGGCTCCCCATCCGTCGCCTCCTCCCTGCCTGCCCGCCCTCAGGAGCTGGTGCTGCTAGAGAAGGAGAAGGAGCTGCTTGAGAAAGACCAGACCGTGATGGTGCTGCGGGAGGAGGTGAGGTGGGGTGCAGCAATGGGGGAGCAGTGGGGGCCGCACATGAGCATCCGGCGAGTAGCCGTTTTGGGGACTTGTGGTTCTGTTGGGGCCTGCCCTGTCAGCTTTTCCTGCCACAGGTTCTTGGTTTGCGCCCTCGGGCGCTGGCTGTCTGCTGGCCCTGCCTCACGCTTCTGGCCCTCTAGCTCTGCTGCAGCTGGAGATAGAGAAGAAGCTGCGGGTGCTGCTGACCAAGGAGAAGGAGAAGGCAGAGGTGGGTGGCGGTGCAGGGCTGCGCATTCAGTCACTGCGAGGTACACAACACCATGGGGTTTGACAACGGCATTTTTGTCAATTCCATGTAAATCGATTGGTTTTGCCTCTGCTGATTGGTGCGCGCAGGAGGAGGCTTCGCTGGCCATGGGCTTGTGCACAGGCGGCTCCATGCTGCCCTGAGTGCTGCACCAGGAGGACGAGTCGTGTGTTATGACTCGATGCAACAATTGATTCCTGCTCATTGCTGCCAAAGTAATTGCCCGCACTGCAAATAAGGCCATACAACTGGCGGGAGTGTCCCGGTGATGGATGGGAGGGGTAGGACAGGGTAAGAGCAAGGGGGACAGCAGGATTGTGTGATGATTGCTCAAATAAAACATGTGCTTGCCATCAAAGCAAGCGGCTGGGTGGGGGTTATACAGGTACTGCATCTGTCTGAAAATTACTATGTGCAACGGCAGTGCGTGTGGGAAGTGTGGGCCGAAGGCTCGAATACAAACCGCGGCAAGTGGAACAGTGATGTGCACCTCAACAAAAGCAACTAGCCTGCCTGGGCAGAGGGGAACTCGAATTGATCTCACGGTTTCGGTTCAAAACCAACATCAAGGGGTTGCCGCTGGCACATCATTCATTCTTGTTTGTCGGCCGTTACGCGCCCCTGTCACGTGAGGCGCCCAGGCTGTGTCGGGTCACAGCGAGGATGACATGTGGGAGGCGTGCTGCCAGTGCTCCTCGTCCAGGCCACGGATGGTGTTGAAGCCGGGGGCGCGTGTGACCACCCTGGGCGGGTGGGGGAGGCAGGCAAGGCAGGATGCTTTAAATCCCTGCATCGGCTAGCAGGCTGCGACAGCACAGCCAACTGGCAACACAGGGGTCGCCACCCGTCTCCTGCCCACCCCCACCTGTCATCCTCGGGCTCGTACAGCCGCACCCGCCGAATGGGCGGCGCGTAGATGTGCAAGCTGATGCTGCCCTCGCCCTCACAGCAGGCATCGTCAGGGCACCGCACTGCATGCAGCCCCATGCTGTCATTGATCTGCAGGAAGGGATGTGGTGCAAGTTTTGCTCAGCCTTGCTGGATGCATCCCCGCTCACCCAGCGGGCTAAACAGCAACTTTGGCACCAAGGAGCAACCGATAGGACGCTGATTGATGACTTACGTATGCCGTGCCGCCAACGCCCACCCTGCTCACGCCGGTGGGCACCAGCAGCGGGCATGGGCTGCAGGGCAGAGGGCAGGCAGCGAGCCGCGGTAAGCCAGTTGGGGTCAGCTGCGAAATGCTGCTTGCTGGCCTTGCCCCTGCCCAAGCGTCCTCCGCACCAGCACAGCAGGCATCCCTCCCCTGGCGCTCACGTGGTGGCAGAGATGACGCCGGGCAGGCGGGGAGCCACAGCGGGCTCCACATGCACGGGGGTGGTCCCGGTGGAGTAGCGCAGCTCTTCCACCTCACCGCTCAGCACGTTGAGCCAGCAGTGGGAGTTGGCATGGTTGTGGACGCGCGACTGCTGGCCCCTGCCCCAACAAATCAGACTGCGCGGCATAGCACAGGGGCGGGGGTTGGCGGCACTGAAACATCGAGTTGGATGGCTCAGCCTCCCTGGCACAGCCGGCTCAGCTCACATCATCTCAAAGTTGGCATTGTCTTGTACCAGGTGCCTGACATAGTGCTCCGGGTTGAACCGGGCCAGCTGCCGCCAGTCGCTGTGCCCCGCCGCAACATACGCGCCCACCGCTGCCCGCACCGCAGCATCCAGCCGTGCCGTCGACTCGGGCGGCTGGTGCGCGTTGATGGTGTAGCCTCGGGCGCGCTCTTCCTCAAAGGCCCGGTTGATGGTGGCAAACAGGTCCAGCAGCGGGGCATCGCTGGGCGCGACAACGGCGGGAGGCCCAGCGCCAGCGCCACAACTCAGCAGCGAGCGGGGCGCAGGCAGCTTGGCCTCGCCGGGACCTGCAGCAGCAAGAAGTTGATCGGGACAGGAGCGAGGGACAGGAGAATCTAAGATTGTTTGCGAGTTCGGGGCTCTTGTCTCACCAACAGTCAGAATGTCTGCAGGCGCCATTGCCGTAAGCAGCCTGCTGCGACCTGTTCTCTGTTGTGACGGTCAGCCTCGTTGTTGGTGTGTTGGCTCTGTGGAGCTGTCGGGACGCGGAGGGCTTGCTCCCTGCCTGGCAACTCCCACAGGTAGAGGGCGGACACTGGATCGCGGACATGCGTGCGCAGGGTCCCTATTGCAGGAACTGTACCTGCACCCGGGACACGCCTTGCACAGCAGCGGGGGCGCTGGCGCCTGCTCATGCAAGGCTTCCTGCCTGCCCAGTAGAGAACAACAGCATAAACTGTCTCTCAGGGAGAAGGTTTTAGCTGCTGCTACATGAAGCTGCCAACATGGACCGATGGTTGCCCGTTCTGCCCAGCGCCGCAGCAGAGGCGGTGAGGGACATAACGTGACGACCTGGCGCTGCACTTGCTGCAATGCCCCCACCAACTGCACTGGTGCTCCAAGTGCGAAGTGTTGCAGGGTGATAAGCTACAGAGTGGTATTGGGGCGGGTGGCGGGGCTGGCTGCGCGCACTGCGCAGGTGAAGGACGGGGCGGCAGCTGGCATTCGGGTTTGGCGCCACGCAAAAAGGAATAGTGAGGGAAAAAAATGAACACGTGGCTGCTGCCCCACAGTCATGCCGCTGCCGCCCCCACGGCTGCTGCTAGGTGGTGGGTGCTGTGATATGCTGCTGCTGCTGCTGGGTGCGGGGCTGGTGAGGGCCGCTGCGGAGCTGGGCTCAGAAGCTGAGCCCCGCCTCGCGTGCCGCATCCGCCAGCGCCTCCACGCGGCCGTGGTACCGGAAGCCGCCGCGGTCAAAGCAGACCTGCACGCCAGACACACACAAAGCTGCCAGTTGGCGCAGCACACCTCAGGCGTGGCGGAGAGGTGGTGCGCTCGTACCAGGGCAGGGCTGCCAGCAGGCCGTCTGCTGGCAGCCCGGCCTAGAAGCCTCCCGCCTGCACGCGCCCGCGCCCGCCCCCGCCCCACCTTTTCGATGTTCTTCTGCTTGCACAGCTCCGCGATCTTGGCCCCCACCAGCTTGGCGGCCTCCACGTTGGCGCCCGCGCCGTTGAGCTGCTGCCGGATCTCGGGGTTGAGCGTGGAGGTGGCCGCCAGCGTGTTGCCCGCGCTGTCGTCAATCACCTGCAGCAGCGACAGCCTCCAGCCAGCCGGGTGTAACAGCCGGGCGCCAGCTGCCAGCAATGCTGCTGGCCGTGCAAGAGGGCTGCTGCCCGTCCCTGGGAAGCGGCGTGGGCGCTAGGCGTGCGATGCGGGGGAGCTGCCGCCCTGGCGCTGCTTCACATGACTTCCTTGCTGTGCATGATGCCCAGCCATGCAGCAGCCAGCCATGCGCTGCTCGCACCTGCGCATAGATGTGGTTGTTCGACCGGAACACTGCCAGCCGCGGCCGCTCGGTGGTGCCCTCCACCTGCACACACACGCAGACGGAGCACCGCCGTTGGACACAGCCACCTCCCTTTACTGCTTGAACTGGGCCCATATTCTGCATGACTGGTGCAAGTGCCGCCCGTTCCTAGGCGCCGCCGCGGCGTACCCCCACCTTGCTGCGAATGCGCTTGTGCCGCTTGTCCACCGACTCGCGGCGGGTCAACACCCGAGCCTCTACGCAGAACTTATGCACCAGGCCTGCGGCAGGGGCTGGAGGGGTGGGCCATGTCGGCAGCCCACAAATGGTGTGGGTGCACGCATTGCCCACACAGTATGGCCCTAAACCCACCGCTGCGTGCTGCCGGCTGCATGGATGGCGCGGCGAGGCTCTTCTGGGCCGCCAGGCCGGAGAACGGCGTGAACCTCATCGTTGCCGCCTGCATGGCCGGCCCAGGCTGCTGCTACGGGTTGGCTGAAAGATGTTGTGTAGCCCACAGCAGCCTCCACTCCCGCCCTGTGGTGTTCACCTGCTCCAGCCACCTGGGTCATGCGGGCGCATGGGCGCGCTAGCAAGCCTCGCTGGTCGCTTGCAGGGGCGTTCCGCTGCCAATCGAGCTTCCGGGCCATGCATTTCTTCAGCACGATGCGCCTGCAGCCTGCACCCGTGAAACCACGTGCTGCTGGACCCCCTCGAGCTGGAGCCCCGCCTTTCCCGCCAGCAAAGCCTGTCAATCGATAAGACATGCACCCGCCACATGCGGAGCACCCAGAAAGCCAGGCCCTTTGCATTCCTGTCGCCGCCCCCATATGCCCACCTGCCTCCCACCGACCATCTGCTGCACTGCCATGTGGGAGTGGAGATTACGCACCACACATAAATATGGGCGCAATGCGCGGCCAACAGGATGGCATAAAGCAAAACAGCGGCAGTGGCGAGGGCGATTCACCACAAACCTGGCGGCACGGTGCACATGCATTGCGGCGCAAAAAACGGGTTGGGGTGTGCGTGTTGTCAGAAAGGGGTGGGAGAAATTCTGGGAACAAAAGCAGAGGGATTCTGAATAGCATTGTGTGCGTGTGCAGCAGGGCGGATATGTTCATTGTGGGCCAGAGCGCCGCCGACCGAGGTGCCGGCGCATGGGCGCCGGACCATCCCAGGCACAACTAGCATCAATCAGCCCGGGCTGGCGTGACATCCGCCGTGCTGCTGCCCGCCAAGCCAGCTGCGCTTCCTCCGCCAGCAGCAAGAGAGCTTGGCAGGCCCAAGGCCTTGCGGGCCGGGTGGCAGCAGGCGGGGCAGGCAGCGCTCGCCGGAGCAGCTGCATGCCTGCCCGCCCAGCCAGAGGTGGCCGCCGCCTCCGCCGGCACGTGTCATGCGCCAGCCAGCCAGGGTGCGCTCCTAGGGGGCGATGCGTGTGCGCTCCCAGCCAGCCGTGCCACAGGCCCCTCAGATGAGGCCCTCCAGCGCCAGCCGCGCCACCTCAGCAAACCGCTCCTCGCTGCACGAGGCAAACTCCAGCAGGCGCCACGCGCTCTCCTGGCTCACAGCCTCGTAGTCCTGCTGGCGCTTGAGCACGATGTGCCCCGCAATCTCCCAGGCGGCAGGGTCCACCTGCGTCTCCAGCACATCTGCCGGCAGCAGGCGGGCGGCGGCGGTAGGGGTACCGGTCAGGACGGCAGAGGGCGGCCAGGGTGGGGCATGGGGCGCATAGGGGCATGGGGGCATGGGGCAGGGGGGCAGGGGGCGGCCAGGCGCATTTGGCACAGCACCAGGCGGTGGAAGCAGCAGCAGGCGGGCGGGCGGGCGCGCGGGCGCAGGCGCGGCGGCGCACCCTCCGGGATCTGCCCCCGCGCCTTCTTCTCGGCAAAGCAGTTGGGGAAGAGGAAGATGCGGGCGCCGCAGTCGGCGATGAACAGGTTGTGCGGAACGTTGGCGGCGGTCAGCCGCTGGCAGGCGGTGCCCACCAGCTCCGCCACCTGGCGCAGGGCGGGAGGGCAGAGGGCAGCAGCAGGGGTGAGCAGGCGGCGGCGGGATGGCGTGGCCGCCGGCCTCCAGCCAAGGGCAGTCGAGCTGCACACACACAGCCTGGCCGTCGACCGAACCTGCGCGCCTCGGCCGCCGCTCGCCCTCCTGCGGAGCGCGGCCAGCCCGGCCACCGCTCGCCCCCCCTGCCCGCCTCACCTCGCGCAGCGAGTCTCCCGCCTCAAACACCAGGCTGCGCACCGGGTACTCGCGCAGCTGGTCGACGCGCACGCCGGTGGCGGCGCGGCGGCGCCCCTTGCCGCCCTGCGGCGGCGGCGAGCCCGCGCCCGCGCCCGCGCCCAGCCCCTCCAGCTCTAGCGGCACGGTGGGCGCCCGCTCCATGGCGTAGGGCGCAGCCAGGTAGTAGGCCTGGAAGTGGAGGTGGTTGATGGTGCCGTAGGCGCCCAGAGAGTTGAAGGCGAGGCGGAAGTAGGGGTTGTCTGCGGGCGGCGGGCGGCGGGCGGGCAGCAGGGTGGGCGGCCGGCGCGGGACGCCTGCGGAGCCGGCCTGGCGGCCTGGGACAAAGCCAGCCACAAAGCAGGGGCGGGCGGCCGCTGCCTGGCCCCCACATCACGCCACCACCACCCCCGCGGCCCGGCCCGCCCCACAACCGCTCACCCGCCTCGCGCGCAAACTGCAGCGCCAGCAGCAGCGTGTCTGGTGTGACCAGCTGGCACAGCGCGTCCAGCGCGCGCGGCACCAGCAGCACGTGCCCGTACTCGATGGGAGAGACGTTGATGTAGACGAGGTTGGGCGAGGCGCGGGGCTGGGCGGCGGGGCGGAAGGCGGGCTTGGCGCGGCGCCCGCCGCGCCCGCCCGCGGGCTCAAACATGAACAGCACCTCCTGCTGCAGCGCCTTTGTGAAGTTGAACTTGGCGGCGTCGTAGGGCTGGGCCACCAGGTCCACGCGGAACTCGGTGGGGCGCTTCTTGGACAGCCGCCCCTCGTTGCACTGGGCGATGAAGCCGTAGGAGCCGGGCACCAGCTTGGTGGGGCAGGCGGTGACGTCGTAGCGGAAGAGGCCCGCCTCCGCGCGGTCCTCCCACTCGCCCAGCAGCAGCGCGTCCAGCACGCTGCGCTGGGGGACCACCTGCGGCGGGAAGGGGGGGGGCGCAAGGACGCGGCGCGCGTCGGAGCGTGCGCCGCGAGCGCGGCCGTAGCCACAGCCGCCGGCAGCTGGCGGGCTGCCGCCCACGCCTGAACTACGCCAGCAGCCTGGCAGCCAGTCTGCCAGACGGCCAGCGTGGCTTGGCCCCCAGCACCTGCGCCCACCCGCCCACCCACCCACCTATACCACCTGCACCAGAAAGCCCACCCACCTGTGCGCTGGCGCCCGAGTCGGAGGAGCCATCCAGCGACACGGCCTCGTCGTCATCAGAGGAGGCGTAGCCGCGGGCCGCGCCGCTGCAGCAGAGGCGGCAGGGCAGGGGCGGCGGAGGCTGGGGCGCGGCCTTGGGCTGGCTGCGGACGCGGCGCAAGCGCCAGCGCGCCAGGGCTGGCCTGGCCGGCTGGCTGGCAGGGAGCGCAGAGAAGCAAGCACGCTGTCGCAACGTGCATGCTGCCCTGCGGCGGCAGCAGCAGAAGCAGGCGCCGGGGCAGCCCCTCCTGTGCTCATTGCCATGGCCTTGCCTGGCCTCCACCCCACCCCACCCAGCCGCACACCCGCCCACGCACCTGGCGGGGTCGTCCACATCGGGCACTGCCGCCGCCTGCAGGTCCCCAAACGATCCAAAGGAGCGCACGCGCTTGACCTCGAAGCCGTCGTGCGAGGGGAAGGAGTAGAGGGGCAGCAGCGAGTCGCCGTCTGCCAGGTCGCGCACCGCCTTCTCTGGGGTGGTGGCCGCGCCCTTGGCGGGGCTGGCCGGGCTGGGGCTGGAGGCGGGGGTGGAGGTGGCGGCCGGGCTGCCGCCGTCGACGTCGGCCTCCCCAGCCAGCTGGCTGAGGGAGAGGACGGTTGCGCAGTGGGTGATGGTCAGCGCCATGGTGCAACAGGAGTAAGAGGGGCGGCGTGGTACACAGAGGGGTGCGCCGCGCGAATGAAAGGGGGGGTTGTGGGGAAAACGGGAAGAAGCGGGATATAAAATGACCAGTGCGGGGCAGTAGCGCTTTGCTAGTATGATACACGCCTGCTAATGGAGCGGGCTAGGGGGGCGTGTATCAAGCGCGACCGCCGCCAGACTTGCGCACGGCGTCCTGCAGCGGCGGCGGGCGGCGACATATTCCAAGGTGCTCAGCCACAAACGCGCCCCATATACCGGTTCCCTGCCCTCCCGAGGCTCCTCCATGCGACAAGAGGGCGGGAGAGGGTGGCCAGCGGTCTCTTGGCGGGCAATCGTGGGAGGTGAGGCGCGTGGCGGCCTGCGCACCTGCGGCCGGCCGCCCAGGCTAGGTGGAACTCCGCGACCTCCGCTGCGGTGAATTAGCATCGCTCAGAGGGCATTGAGTGGCTGGGTGGCGGGGCGGGGTTGGCTCTTCCTGCGCTGCTGTCCGCTGGTTGAAGTCACGTCCTTCCTGAGAGGCTTCCCAGCAGAGAGCGCAATGGGATTATAAAATGTAAGGCATTTCATGAGTTTGCGGACCGGTGTAGGCGGTGGGTGCGGACCGTGCGGACCCTGGCATTCGGTCCGCACGGTCCGCACCCGCGGACCGGTAAGGCATTTCATGAGTTTGCGGACCGGTGTAGGCGGTGGGTGCGGACCGTGCGGACCCTGGCATTCGGTCCGCAACCTTCAAAAATGCGCCAGGAAATGTGGCAGGCCAACTCCGCCCTGACAGCGCGCTGCGGCCCCCGCCCGCCGCATTTCCACTCCACCTGAGATCACAAAGGCCTTAGGAACCCACACCCTGAGCGGCCGTCCAGCCCTGCGGCCGCACGCCCATCAGGGCCATCCCACACTCCGCCCCCTGTCCTTTCCCCGGCCCGCCTGCCGCTTTTCCTCTTGCAGCATCGTCTCCCAGACTCTCCAGCGGCCGAGTAGCGAACTCGGCGCGCTGCGCCATGGCAGACAATGGCCCTCAGGGGGATGGCAGCAGCTGCCCTACCTACGTCCCGGATCCAGCTTTGTGGGCAACGCAGATCCCCTACAGCCCGCCGCAGCAGTCAGGCGGGAGGCCGCCCTCGCCGCCGCCCGCCGCCGCCCAGCCTGCAGCAGCAGCAGCCGAGTTCTGGGACGCAGTTCTGGGCTGGACGGCGGCCCATGACCCCCCGGGATGCCTTGACGACGATGCTGGCCGTGATGACAGACACTGCGCCATTGGCGCGGTTCATGTCCGGGCATGACAACTTTGCCGCGGCTTTTCAGAAGGACAATGTGAGAGCAAGGCTTTTCGGCGTGTCCTCTCAATTGAGCCATGCTAAAATCCATCTGCCCTCTGGCGTTGCTTGCCCCCCATCTGGCTAAGCCACCATGGTTTTCTGTGCTTTGAACAGGTGGACATGGAACTGCTGCACCAGCACCAGCAAACAGCCCTAGAGCAGCTGAAGGCCACCGCCGAGGCAGCAAATGCGGCAGATGAGGAGCCCAGCCCACCAGCAGAGGAGTTGGAAGAGGTTCAGGCGGCAGCTGTGCTTGCTGTCTTGAGCCCCGGCGGCGGCAAGCGGACAATCAGCCGAGCTGGTGACCCATTGCAGCCGTGCGAGCTGAACATGGATGCAGCCCTCGTGGAGGAGGTGGCTGCACCAGCCCAGCAGCAGCACCAGCAGTTCCACCACCAGCAGCAGCAACCTAGCATGCCACAGCAGCAGGGCACAGCTGCCCAGCAGGAGCAGCAACAGGGCATGCTGCCGAGCATGCCGCAGCCGCACGGCACAGCTGCCCAGCAGCAGCAGCAGCAGCAGCAGCAGCAGCAGCAGGGCATGCTGCCAAGCATGCCGCAGCCGCACGGCATTGCTGCCCAGCATCAACAGGGCATGATGCAGCAGCAGGGCACAGCTGCCCAGCAGCAGCAGGGCATGCTGCCAAGCATGCCGCAGCCGCACGGCATTGCTGCCCAGCATCAACAGGGCATGATGCAGCAACAGGGCACAGCTGCCCAGCAGCAGCAGGGCATTCTGCCGAGCATGCCGCAGCCGCACGGCACAGCTGCCCAGCAGCAGCAGCAGGGCATTCTGCCGAGCATGCCGCAGCTGCACGGCATTGCTGCCCAGCATCAGCAGGGCATGCTGCAGCAGCAGGGCACAGCCGCCCAGCAGCACCAGCAGCATGGGGGGAGCACAACACACCTTCACCCTCTGTCTCAATCGATGATGCAATCCGTCCCTATGCACCAGCAGTTCCTACCACCCATGGGCCCCGCAGCGGCAGCCTTGCCGACAAGCTTCCTCATGGAGCAGACGCTCAACATGGCAGCACCATACCAACACGTGCTGGGTGGCGACGGCTTCGGCATGCTGGCTAACTCGGCATCCATGAGCCAGTACCAGCCCCACCTGGTACACCGGATGGGCCCTGGAGCAGCAGCGCAACAGCTGTTCATGGGGCGGCAGCAACCTGCCCTTCACCCGCACCCGCAGCATGCCATGCTTCAGGGGCTGCTGCTGCCTAGAGCATCTGATGGCAGTTACATTGGCAGCTTTGTCGGCAGCGCACCTGCAGCTATAGGCGGGGCTGGCGGCAGCAGGGGCAGCAAAGGCGGCTCTGGCGAGGACAATGGCGGCGGCAGCGGTGCAGACGGCAGCAAGGAGGGACAGAGGAAGGCTCGGAATGGCTCGCGGCGGCGGCTGCCGCCACAGCGGCGAGACCTCCCCACACTGGCTCACTTTGAGCAACTGGGGGGGCTGCCTGCGGTAAGGCGGCGGCGCTGTGTGCATTCTACACATCGCCTCCCGAACCTGCTGTTTACAGTGATTGCACTGTGCGCTGCATGCAGATCTACGAGTGGTGGACCAAAGACTTGCTTGACAATGGGATGAGTCGGCAGGAGACGGTGGGGAGGCCTTGCCGTGCGTGTATGCCTTTTGCTCGGCTGTCAGTACTTGAATGCTGCCTTGCCTAACTGTTGCATCGCAAATGCAGGTGCCACATTCATCTTCTTTCCCTTCTTGTTCTTCAGGAGGAGCAGGAGCAGGCCTGCAACCCAGCTGCGATGCCAGAGTGGCGCTCAGGGATCGACAAGCGACGCTTCAATGGTAGGGTGATCAGGGGGCGTACAATTGGGTCATGTGTGGTTGGGTGCAATATCACACCTGGCACATTTTGTTGTGAGTTGCCATCACATGCTCTTTCGTTGCACTCGCTTGTCACTTGCAGAGGTGAATAAGCTCATCACCTACATCGAGGAGCATGCGGCCACCCTGCAGCAACAAACCAAGCAAGCGGTATCCCGAATGGAGGTGAGCTTGCAGGTTTGGGTGGGGGCTGGCAGGGTGCGTGGGAGTGGTATGAGATTGAATGGCAATGGTTGAGCACGACGGACAACGGGGGAGCTGAATTGTAAAGGCTGCTTTGCCTTCATTGAGCATGCAGATGGCTCGACAACTGGAGAAGGAGCGGCAAACTGCAGCTATCAAGCATGGCGGCAAGCAGAAGAAGCAGACCCTGAACTCCCTGTTGAAGCAGCTGCAGAAGCAAGGTGGCAAGGCCAAGAGGGCTGCAGCTGCAGCAGCAGCGGAGCAGCACAGCAGCGGCAGGGAGAGCGAGCATGACGGCAACGATGTAGGCGGCGACTAGGCACGCTCTTGACTGTTGCTAGAGATTGCATGTTACATTCTTGTTGTAATGTGCCCCCAGTTATTCGGGCAATGGACAGAGGAGCAAGAAAGGAGAGGTGAGGGCAGGGTGGTGAGGGTCTGGTGTGAGATGATATCAAGAGGTTGGATAGAAAGGAAGGTGTTGCAGGTGCAGCTCTCTCTGAAGGATAGGCCAGGCTTGGCTCATACTGCCCTGGGCTGCTGCACTTGCAGCAGCCTGCCCAACCGCTGCAAGTCGTTGCCCCCACAGATCCCTTTCCTCTGCGCATCAGGAGAAAAGGCAGAGAATTAGCTCAACAAAGCAAGCTAAGGCAGGCAAGCAAGGCAGTCAGGAGAGGGGCAGGCAAGCAAGGCAGTCAGGAGAGGGGCAGGCAGAAATAGAGGGGCAGCAGCGGCGTGCCCACCAGGCGACGCGGTCACCATGCGCGCAGAGTTGGCATACACCCAGAGCATAAAACGGCTCATCACAGCCTCCCTGCTGAACACAGGGGTTGCTGCAGCATTGGCAAGGGAAGGAAGGGGCAGACCAACCATTCACAAAGGGGCAAAGGGTTGTGCAGCGGCAGCAGGCTGCGAGGGCGGGGCGGCGGGAGGCATAGGGCGGGCAGCCAGTCCGGGCACTTGGCTGCGCGTCTGCGAGCATGACTTTCCCACCTATCTCCTGCCGCCAGGCCGCCATCCAGCGCTCCAGCCCCTCGGGCGAGGAGCCATCGGCCTGCGCCTGCTGCAGCGCCGAGTTGCACAGAGCCCTCAGCTCCGCTCGTTCAGCCGCAGTGAGGCCCTCCCGCGCATGCTGGGAGCCGTGTGGGGCGGCGGGAGGCTGGCCATGGGGCGTCGGGGGAGCGGCATGGGGACCGGCATGCGGGCTGGGGAGAGCCCCAGGGGCCCCGGCGGAGCCCCTGCGGGCCCGCGGGCTCTCCCTGATGGTGAAAGAGGGCGGATGGGGCGGTCCGCGATTCGGGGTCCGAGCCCCGACTTTCCCCGCGTCCGACGTGGTCCGCAACACCTCTAGATGTGGTCGCCCAGTTGTCCACCTTCACCTCATGCACCCTCGTGGCCCACACACATCCTCCAATGCGGGCACCACCTGAGACCGTACACATCCTCCGATGCGTGGGCACCACCAGAGGAGGTGCAAGTAGAGCGAGCAAGCTTGCCAGCCAACGCTGCAGTATTGCACCCAAGGGCCCGCCGCTCCCACCTATGTCACAATCCCCTGTGCGGCCCTGCTTTGCCATCTTGAATAACATGGATGGACTGCGCCCTCAAAAAGCACCCTTACATGTAGGAAATGGGATGATGAGCTCTCCAAACAAAGCCAGGGCAGGGCTGTCAGCCCAGGGCGCCGCCGGCCAAGCGGTGTTGCCCCAACTGCTGCTGTCGCTGCCCGCGCCGCCGCGCCGCAGCCCTGCCCAGCACCACGCCAGCTGCGGCCCCCGCCGACAGGCCCACCACGGTGCAGGGAAGGCCCACCACCAGCAGCTGGACCCACCACCGTCGCCACCTGCGCACAACCTGCACCTGAAGCCGCTGCTCCGCCAGCTCAGCCTCCAAAGCCGCCTTGCTGCGAGCCAGCACGGTGGCCCTGGCGGCGTGCCGATCCCTGTCCGCCTCCGCCTTCTCCTGCTCCCGCTTGGCCGCCGCGCTGCGTTGCTCGGCAGCATGCTTTGCCCCCTCCAACAAACCCAGCTGCACGGTCACACGCGCAAGCTGCGCTTCCAGCAATCGAAACAGGCGCTCCACCTCGGTCGCCCGGCGGGCCGCATCCGCTGGCCCAGAGTCGCGCAGGTTGGCCAACTGCTCGGTCACCATCTCGAGGGGCACTGCACCGGGAGGGGAGGGGAGCGGTGTGGAGCCTGGTCGCCACGGCACTGAGCACATCAAGCAGCAAGCAGCCACAGTGCTCCACACACGGGAAAGCATGGCCCTACAGGGCTAGAGGGCAACAAGCATGGTGGTTCTGGGGTTGTCGGCGCACCAGTCAGCAGCCCGGTCCACTCTTGCTGGCAGACCTCGCACTGCTGCGCGTTGGCCCTGCCGCTCTGGTAGCTCTGAAACACCCAGCGTGCCAGGCAGCGCTGGTGCACGGCCGCAGCGCAGGCGCAGGGCTGGATGAGTTGGCCACCTGCAAACAAGCCGTGCAGTAGGAGGGTCATGGCGGCGGTGTGCCCTAAGGGCTTCAATTGTCTCCGCCCTCCCTCAGCCGCTCAGCTCTTATGTATGTATCTCATAACAACTTCAAGAAGCCCTGGGAGCCTGCCCTCGTGCAGAACTGGCGCAAGACAGCATATGGTCGGCAGCAAATGGCGGAGCCACAGCGACACCCTCCAATCAACGCTCGGACCTGGTTCGACGTCTTCAGTCTGCAAGCAATAGCGGCACACCGCCTCTTCTTCCGAGTCGGGGACGCCCCCCAGCAACTCTTCTGGTTCTGGAAGAGTAGCCATTGATCAAGGGCTTGGTACGGGCTCCGCGGAGTCAGGAATGGGCGGAAGTGACCGGGAGAGCGCTTCGGGGAAAGAATGCCCGAGGCTGTACCGCGCCGGCGCCGCAGCGCTTGCCACGGCAGTGGCTGCTGGGGCAGGTCACTGGCCAATCGACACTTGGCAGTTGATCTACAGGATGACTTTGCCGGGTTCAGTCTTGTAGCAGGGAAAACACGCGAGCGGTGTCGTCCTCGCCGCCCGCTATCCACCAGTTGCCGTCTGGGCTTGCCGCCAAATCCTGCACGGCATCCGTGTGCCCCCCGCCACTCCCGCACACAGTTGCCTGTCCGGGTGTCCCAGCACCGCACCGCGCCATCCAGGCAGCCCGTGAACACCAGCGGCTGGGGGGGGTGCTGCGCAAGCCGCGTCACGCCCTGCAGCGCGGTGAGGAGGGCGGGCGGGCGGGCGGGTGGGGTGATGTGACGCAGCCAGCCAGACGCAAGCACAGCTGCTCCAGCGACAGCCCATGCTCGTCCCGGGGCATCACACACGCAGGCATGGCAGGCTGCCATGGGGAGGGGCAGGCAGGCAGAGCACCCTGTGTGGCTGCTCACATCAGGGTGCTGGCAGGTGGCGCGCTGGCCGGGCACCGCGGCCGCCAGGTCCCACACCATGAGCCGCCCATCCATGCCCGCGCTCATGGCCACGTGCGGCAGGTGGTGGGAGAAGGCCACCGCCTCGATGCTGCTCTCCTCCTCGTGCCCCGCCAGCGAGGCCACCACCCGCCCGTTGCTGAGGTTGACCACCTGCCGGAGGGAGCGAGGTTGCAGTGGGGTGTGGGTGTGGAGGAGGCAAGCGGATGAGGACAGGTTGGGCGCGATATGCAGGGCAGGGGCTAGCGCAGGTGCATGTCGCTGAGGGTGGCGGGCGGGCAGCGGGCGAGGGAGGCGGCAGGGCGCACCTTTGGCACGCCGTCCTCTGAGCCGCTGATGGCTGCTGTGGAGTCGGGGTGGATGTCCAGGCAGGTCAGGCCCGCGGTATGGTATGGGTGGCCCTGCGCACGACGTGCAGGGCGGCAAGGCCACCGGTGAGCAGCAGGGAACGCGGGGGTGCATCGCACCACCCGCGGCAGCCCAGGCATGCGCCCCAGCAGCTCAGCCACCGCGCAGCCAGCTCCTGGGGCCGGGCCCCAGCCCCACACACCTGCACGGTCAGTGCGCACTCTCCGGTCTTGGGGCTCCACACCTTCAGCGAGGCGTCGCCCTCGCCGCCGCCCGTCACCACCCACTTGCCGTCGGGAGTGAAGCTGCCGCACACCACCGAGCCGCTGTGCCCCGAAAACACCTGCGGCCGGCGCGCCACACAGCAACGTGAGGGCGAGCGGCGGGCGGGGCTGGGCGCGGCTCCGCACCCCAGCTCGCCCCACCGCAGCCCGGCTCCCCAGCCCATCACTCGGCGGCCACGGCAGCGCAGTGGTCCCCGCAGCTACCGAAACAACGGCCCCACCCTCGCAGGCCTGCTTGCCCCACCTGCATGCACGCCCCCGTCTGCGCCAGCCACATCCAGGCCGTGAAGTCTGCGGCCCCCACCAGCACCACGCCGCCCTTGGGGTGCCACCGCACCCACTCCACCGCGTCTCCTGGCCCCTCCAGCGTCTGCGTGCACCGCCCGCTGGCCACCTCCCACACCTTCACCCGCCCGTCCAGGCCGCCGGTGGCCAGGCTGGCGCCGTCAGCGCTGAAGGCCATGCTGGCCACGGTGTCGGTGTGCCCGCCCAGCTCCAGCACCGCGCCCCCCGTCTGCTCAAACGCCTCCTGCCCCACGCGCCAGATGTAGGCGCGGTCGTCGGCGCCGCCCGTGGCCACCAGGTCTGCCTGCCGCGGGCTCCAGGCCACAGAGTAGACGCCGCTGGTGTGGCCGGTGAACGTGTGTATGCTGTCATCCTCGTCTGCCGCATCCAACCCGTCTCCCTCCTCCTCGTCCTCCTCCTCCTCGCCGTCGCTCATGTTCTCCTCTGCACTCTCAGGACAGGCAATCCAGGCACTTCAGCAGGGGCAGGGAAGGCCTGGTGCAAACTGGACAGCCAGGCAGCTTGAACAACGCTGCTGCCGCCGCTGCTGCCAAACGCTGCCACCGCTGCCCGCTCGTCGCCAGCTGCTCCTGCACCGGCCCCATCCCCTCCACTCCCAAGTGCTGCTGCGGGCGATCAGAACACCAAAATGCCGGGTCGAGTCCTGCGTCTGGAAGCCTCAAAGGCGCCAGCGGGCTGCGCGCACGCGCATGCAGGCACGGCAGCAGCGGTGGCTCACCATCAGGGGCCTCCCCCTCCAGGTCTGCCACCACCTGGCCCCCTTCCAGCTCGCCTCCTTCCTCTGCTGTAATAAAGGCCTCCTCGCCTGTCGCCCCGGCCATGCTGCAGACTTGGGAATGACTGAGATGAATGATCCAAGGGCATGCAAATTACTGACGGATGCAGAGCCCTCCACAATTTGTGCAGAATCAGTGCCACCTCACCTGCCGTTTCCGCTCCTGGGGGTCTCCCTGCGCGCTCACTGCACTGTCGCACGCTGCATGGGTGTCGAGAGCATTGCGGAAGCGGCTGGATTGCCGGAACGGTTGCAGGGCGCCCCCTAGGCTGCCAGCATCACCTGGCGCCACTGACAAGCGGCTGGGGGGCCTCAGCACAAGTGGGGTGATCCGGGCCGGGCCGCAGCGGCTGCCCCCAGCGCGATGTACACCCTTGTGCTCGTGGGCAGCTTCGTGCTGTGGATTGCCAGCGAGAAGACGCTGCTGCACTTCAGGCAAGTCTCGGTGGGGCCGCAGCTGGGCGGCAAGCCGCCGCCACCGCCGCCGCCACCGCCCGAGGCGCCCACCACCCCGCCTGCTGCCGCTCCCTGCCACCGCCGCCCTGCAGCCGCACCGCACGCCGCCTGTTCTGGTACCTGCTGGCATGCGCCATCGGCGTGGTCCTGGTGCGGTGGCTGCAAAGCATCGAGGGCATTGGCATGATGTGGGTCTTCCTCAGCGCGGTGAGAAGCGAGGCGGCGCTCAAGTGGCTCCGGGCCGTTGTCGCTGTTGCTTGCGGAAGCCGCCCAGCTGTATTGATCGGTTGACCTGCTCGGCCAGCACACTGCTCCCTGGTCTTGGGCCATGCCGACAGCAGCTGAGCGGCTGCCTGCCTGGTCCCGCGCCTGGTGCCTGTGGCCTGCCCCTCCAGATTATGGCTGCCTCCATGATCGAGGACGAGGTGGTGAAGAGCAAGGGCCTGACGCTGATGGACGTGGAGGCCACGCGGCGGCTGCGCAGCCGCCTGCGCACACCCGAGGCGCAGGGCAAGGCGGAGCGGCTGATGGACATTGTGGGCACCATCTCGCACGGGCGCGGCGCCACGCTGGGCGCGCGCCAGCTGTGGGCGCGCATGAGCGGCACCATGCGCCGCCTGCGCCGATCGCTGCACTCGCTGCTGCAGCAGGCAAGGCGGCGGGGCGGGCTCGCGGGCGGGGCTGGGGCAGCTGGCGCAGTGCAGACGAGCCGCACGCAGCCTCCTCACGAGCTGCGGTGCAGCACGGCCTGCTCTGCGGTCCACCACTCCACCCTCCTGTGCCTGCCGCTGGCGCCGCCGTCTGCCGCAGGCTGAGGCCGACGAGCTGAACTACATCCTGTGCACCATCAACGCCCCTGCCATGGTGGAGGTCTGCTCCCGTGCTACCCTGGAGCTGCTGACGCGGGAGCGGCTGCCGGAGCTGACCACAGAGACCAGGCACGGGCGCGGCATGCAGGCACACACTTGCAGGCTCACACATACAGTGCTCGCCTCTCAGGCATACATACAGTGCTCGCTCTGCCGCCGCACACACACGCGCGCCACTCCTCGCGCGGCAAACACAGTGATGCGCGCCTCTGCCCCGGGCCGCAGGTCTGTGCTGGTGGACTCGCTGCAGAAGGTGGGCATGCGGTACCGCCCGCAGCGCCAGCTGTGGGCCGCCGCCGTGCTGCTCAACACGCGCGGGCTGGAGCTGACGCTGCTGAAGAACTACCTGGACGACGGCGGCGACTACCACACCTGCTACAAGCTGTGCTACCACGACCTGCAGGTGGGTGGGAGGGAGGGAGGGTGGGAGGGAGGGAGGGGGCGGGGGGGTGTGCGGGGAGGCCTTGCAGAGGCGCGGGCGGAGGGAGAGAGACTGCACGAGACGTGGCCTCTGGAGGTGCTGCTGCTGCTGGTGCTGGGATGGGCCCGACTCGCCGCCGCGCCGCGGGTGGATGCCGCCGCACGTG